CCACTTGGTCATGGTGTTATTTTTTTGATATGCAGCTGAATTCAGCTTAGTAAGATTTTATTGAGAATTTTTATGTCTATATTCATAGGGGATATTGGTCTGTAGTTTTCTTTTGTTGTTATGTCCTTTCCTGGCTTTGGTATCAAGGTGATATTGACTTCAGAGAATGAGTTGGGGAGGATTCCTTCCTTTCAATGTCATGGAATAATTGTGCATTATAGGAACCAGTTCTTCTTTGTAGGTTTGGTAAAATTTGGGTGTGAAACCGTCTTGTCTGGGACTTTTTTGGTTGGAAGATTTTTTATTGCTGCTTTAATTTTGGTGATTGATATTGGTCTGTTCATAAGTTCTATTTCTTTCTGATAGAGCCTAGCCAGGTTGTGTTTCCAAGAATTTGTCCATTATTTCCTCCACATTTTCAAGTTTAAGAACATAGAGATTTTTATAGTATTCATAGATGATATTTTGTATTTCCATGATGTTAGTTGTGATTTCTCCTTTTTCCTTTCTAATTGACCTTATTAGAGTCTATCCTTTTCTGTTTCTCATTAATCTAGCAAGAGGCCTGTCAATTTTGTTTATCTTTACAAGAAACCAACTTTTTGTTTCATTAATCTTATGTATAATTCTTTTGTTTTCAATTTCATTTAGTTCTACTCTTATCTTGGTTATTTCTTTTTTCTACTAGGTTTGGGATTCATTTGCCCTTCTTTTTGCATTTCCTGAGATGATTCATTAGATTGTTGTTGTGTGATCTTTCTGTTTTTTGGCTGTGGGTATTTAAGGATATGAGTTTTCCTCTCAGGATTGCTTTGCTGTATCCCACATAGTTTGATAACTTGTGTCCCCATTATCTTTAGTTTGAAGAATCTTTTGATTTCCATCCTTATCTCCTCCTTGACCCAACTATCATTCAGCAATAGGTTGTTTAGTTTCCATGACTTTGTGTAGAGTTGAGTGTTTCTGTTGGAGTTGATTTCTAATTTTATTCCACTATTGTTTGAGAAGATGCATGGTATAATTTCTATTTTTTAAAAATTTTTGAGGCACGTTTTGTGGCCTAGGATGTGATCAATCTTAGAGAATGTTCCATGAGCTGAGGAGAAGAACGTATATTCAGTAGTTTTGGGATAAAATGTTCTGTAAATTCTGTTTGGCCTATTTGTTCTCGAGTTCTGTTTAAGTCCATTGTTTCTTTGCTTATATTCTGTTTGGAGATCTGTCCATTTCTGTCTATGGAGTGTTGAAGTCCTTGGCTATTATGGCATTGCTGTTTATCATTTTGTTTAGATTGAATAGAATTTGCTTTATGAATCTGCTTGCTCCTGTGTTAGGTGCATAAATATCTAGGATTATTAACTCTTCTTGTTGAATTTTTCCACTCATTATTATATAGTGACCATCTTTGTCTTTCTTTACTTTTGTTGATTTTAAGTCCATGTTATCTGATATGAGAATGGCTATATCAGCTTTCTTTTGATTTTCATTTGCATGGAATATTATCTTCCATCCCTTCACCTTGAGTCTACATGACTCCTTGTGGGTTAGATGTTTTTCCTGGAAACAACAGATACTTGGCTTATATTGTTTTATCCATTCATCCAGGCTATCT